GATCCAATTGGTCTGTGACGTCATGGCTTACTTCCGATTTTTCCGGATACCTATAACTGAGAATCGCAATTTATTTTTTTAAATCAACACCCCTTTTTTATTGAAAATTTGAAGCGTGTATTGAAAATTTTCTGTCAGCTGTCAAAATGGCCGCCATATTGGATATTTTTTCTAAACATGTTACTATTAATTCGTTTATGGAAAAATAATGGTAATGTATGATCTTTATAAAATCATTGTAAGCTTCAAATTTCCTATTGAGACCCACCAGTGGCGTATCTAAGCATTTTCATTATTAACAAACTGTTTAATAATTGAATCCGCTTCTATCATCATTAATTGAGATATTAGAACGAAAACTTCTTTTTTAAAAAACTTGGAACAAATACATCAGGCGTCTAATATCAAATGTAGCAAAGTCCACTTTTATAAATTTTCCACTACACAACAAAAACGATTTAAAAACTATTAGGACGTTACATGAAATTACTGTTTTGGCTTTTAAATTATTTTATGTAAATTACAGTCAAAATCGCCGTAGGATTTTGAATAATATTTTAAATTGGCTATATATATTGGAGTTTGCTGTATTTGATATTTAAGGTTGGAGTTTGCTACATATGATTTGTTCATGAAAGGAGATTGCTGTTTATGATAGTAAACTGGGGTGAGAAAACATCCAGGACTGTATTGAATACAAACACAGTTCTGCTCACTAATTAATACTGTGATTAAAAGAAACCAAAAAACAAATGTTTTTCATATTGTCAATAAGAATGTGTCCATGGGCGCCGACCAAAAAATTGCTGGGAGGAAAGTCTTATAGGCAAGTTCATATTGCTGCAGGCTATAGACGAAAGCCATAGCGAAAAATCCAAAATCGGAAATCTGGTGCGCTTGTCCTCGTGTGAAGGAGCGCCTATAAATGTGTCCCTTAAAGTTAACCACAAATGAGAAACTTTTTTATTATTAGTTTATTAGTGCAAGGAAGAAACTAAAATAACAACGTTGACAGTAAACGGCCGCCTGGCTGCGTAGGGGTACCTCTCTAGTATGCACCGTTGACCGCCTGTGTGTATTGTGCTATCTGTCTGCGCTATGTGCTGTATGATATGAATTAAGAATAGGCACACAACGACAGATATACCCACAATCCCAACGCAGCCAGGCCGTTGGCAACATGTTATTCGTTTTCTTCTCGAACTAATGTGAAGTCTCCTAAGTTTTCACTTCGAAACTAGCAAACCGTATTAGAGGGTTTTCAATAGCCGATACTGTATATGAATAAATAAATATATATACAGAGTTGCGCAAAAGTCCGGAATAAAATTATTAACTGTCCAACCTGTAACTTAAAAAAAAAACGCAGAAACACGTGAATTGATTTTACATTGGACGTATTTGTAACCAATAAAATGAATTTTTTTTTCTTCAACCACTTAGCTACAACCCTAGCCGCCAACTTTTTTTTTCAAATGCAAAGGTATGTTGTGTGTAGGTCATTGAAAAGTCATGAAAAATGGATACCGACATACCTTATTTTTTTTTTCTTTTACTTATGTAGTTATTGGAAAATGATAAAATATTCTTTTGACAACAAAAAAGGTTCAAATAGGTTATAGTGAAATCCCACCTTTCCCTACAAACGACATATCTTTGTATTTCAATTGTAGGAATTTATGTGGTTCTTATTGTCAATATAGATTTAATAATTGCGGTCCTGGAAAAAATATTGCTTATCTCAATCATTTCGCTTTATTTGCTTTCCAATTTTTGGCATTTCTAACACACTTTCTTGCGTGTTTTTTATCTACAGGAGGACAAGAGACCTCCATTTTATGAATTTTCACTAAACAATTCTTATTATTTTGTTATTATTACTAAAAAATAGTAATTAACTATGCACGTGTTGTTACAAACCGACTACAGCTACCATACTGATTTAACTACTTGCTATTGGCTGAAAGTGACTTTGCTACTTTTGTTATGTTAAATCTGGAGATTGCTGTTTTTGATACAAACTAACAACTTTGCTGAATGGTTTTAACGGATTATTTCTGCTTTTGACACAAAATAAGACCTGATATTTTAATAAACAACCATTCTAAACCGGTACGACACAAAAAGCTTCAATCGGAAAATTTGGAGTTTGCTGCTTTTGATATTAGACCCCTGACATACTGGATTCAATTGATCAGTTAGTCATGGCTTACTTCCGGTTTTTCGAAAATAACAGTAAATCGCAATTTATTTTTTAATTTTAAATGGAAACCCACTCTTTAATTGAAAATTTAAATGTCTTTGTATCCGTTCATGAGTTATCGAGGACACACACAGACACGACACAGACATCATCACGAAAATAGTCAAAACGGATTTAGGGGACCTCAAAACTTAAAAATCTGTCGTAAACTTGAGGTCGAAAAAATTATGATTCCTATACTTTCCTTATCTGTATACAGATAAGAAAATAAAAAAGAGAACTATATTCCCACTCTTCATAAAAAGTTGTTAAAAAGCTTTCCTGGCATTCACACACAAAGATTGATTTCTCAAACGAGCAAACGTAGATGTAGTAGAAAAGCCAGGCACCCTCAATTAAAAAAACGCAAAAGTGGCGCACCTAAAGATAGTGACTACGGACTTCAATGCGATGAACAAAAAAAACTGCAATTTTTGGATTGTTTACCAAAATGAATAGATGATATTTGTAAAATTGAAGTATCTACTAGAAGTCAGGCCAGT